TATGCTGCTGTAAAAAAGAAGGAACTCTTACCATTTGCAACGGCATGGATGGAACTGGAGAGCATTATGCTAAGTGAAATAAGCCAGTCAATGAAGGAAAAATACCACATTTATTTTGTTTTTTAGATTCCACATATAAGTGAAATCATATATTTGTCTTTCTCTGTCTGACTTATTTAGCATTATACCCTCTAGGTCCCTCCATGTTGTCACAAATGGCAACATTTAATTCCTTTTATGGCTGAGTAATACTCCATTGTATATATGTACCAAATGTTCTTTAGCATGCATATAAGCATAACCACTGGACATAAGACACTGGGGGGTAGGGGAGGCCAGGGGATTGTCAAGGGCGGGGGGGAAAATGGGACACATATATAATACCCTTTGTAATACTGTAAGCAATAAAAAAAAAGTATGGTACATCTATCAAGTACTATAATAAACAATAAGAAAAGTAACAACTACAGTAATAATCATGATGATGATGATGAAAACTTACTGTCTTATAATTGACAAAATATATTAAATCGTGATAACTTGGTCCAAACATGTTTTTAGGTATTTTACTGTCTTAAAAAATGAAGCATAATTACTCAATACCAATTACTCAATACCAATAATTACTCAATACCAATTCTAACCTATTGAATAATACAGATCCTCATCCACATCCACTTTGCTAACCTAAATAATTCTCTGCTTGCTAAAATTTCAGCCAATAAACCTCCTTACGATTGGCCCTGGCTCACCATTTAGGTTTATACACCTGAGGCTGGAATTCAGCAAGTTGCAACATAGTAGGTTTTCTCCTTGGTTGCACAATAGAATCACCCAGAGAGGTGTTTTGTTTTTAAATTTTCTTTATTGATTAAGGTATTACATATGTGTTCTTATCCCCTTATTGCCTCCCCACCTCCACACCCGCTCATGCCCTCACCCCCCTGGTGTCTGTGTCCATTGGTTAGGCCTATATGCATGCATACAAGTGCTTTGGTTGATCTCTCCCCTTTACCCCACCTTCCCCTACCTTCCCTCTGAGGTTTGAACATCTGATCGATGCTTCTCTGTCTCTGGATCTGTTTTGGTTCATCAGTTTATGTTGTTCATTATACTTCCAGTCAATTCCCATTACTTTCCAACCTCACTGGGACAACCACTGTTCTGATATTTTTTTTAAATGTATTTTTCAATTATAGTTAACATGCAATATTACATTAGGTTCAGGTGTATAACTGTGATTAGATATTTATACATCTTATGAAGTGATCAACCTGATAAGTCTAATAACCATGTGGCACCAACATAGTTGGTATAATATTACTGACAATATTCCCTATGCTGTACTTTACATCCCGTGGCTATTTATAACTGCCAATTTGTACTTCTTAAACCTTTCATTTTTTTGCCCCTTCCCCTAGCCCCCTCCTCCCTGGCAACCATCAGTTCATTCTCTCTATTTATGTTTGTTTCTTCATTTATTTTGTTTTTTAGATTCCACATATAAGTGAAATCATATATTTGTCTTTCTCTGTCTGACTTATTTACCATTATACCCTCTAGGTCCATCCATGTTGTCACAAATGGCAACATTTAATTCCTTTTATGGCTGAGTAATACTCCATTGTATATATGTACCACACGTTCGTTAATCATTCATCTATCAATGGACACTTAGGTTTTTCCATATCGTGGCTACTGTAAATAATGCTGCAGTGAACATAGGGGTGCATTAGTCTGACTTTTTAAACCCTAGATTGGTTTTGCCTAATCTAGAGTCTCACATAAGTGGTATCCTATAGTATGTCTTGTTTATGTTTGGTTTCTTTCACTCAGCATAATGCTTTTGAAGTTCATCCATATTGTTAAGCATCGATAGTACATTCCTTTTTGTTGTGTGAATATACCTCAATTTGTTTATTCACTTTCTGGGTTACTTCTAAATTTTGGCTATTATGGATAAAACTATTATGGACATTTGTGTGTGAGTCTTTTAGTATACAGGGGTGGGCAAAAGTAGGTTTACAGTGGTTCATATGGAAGATAATACAAATACATAATACAATAATTAATTAATAAATAATATCTCATAACTGTAAACCTACTTTTGCCCATCCCTGTGTATATGTTTTCATTTCTCTTAAATAACTAAAAGTGGAATTTTAGGGTCATTAGGTAGGTGTATGTTTAGTTCCATGAGAAACTGCCCGACTAATTTCCAAAGGCCTTGTTTTGCCAGCCAACTATGAGAGTTCTGGTTGCTCCACAGCCTGATAACACTTAGCACTGTTAATCTTCTTAATTGTAGCCATTTTAGTGGATGTGTAGTGAAATATCTTTGTGGTTATTATTTCCCTGATGACTATTAATGTTCAGCATTTGCATGTGTTCACTGCAAATTTATAAAGCTTCACTATGAAATTAGTGCCTGTCTAAGTCTTTTGCCCCTTAAAAAAAGACACAACAGTATGTCTGTCTTCTTATTATTGAGTAAAAGGATTTGTTTATGTATTCTGGATAAAGATGTTTGCCAAATATACATACTATGAGTACTTTCTCAGTTTTGGCCAGCCTTTTCATTCTCTTAATGGTGCCTTTTGAGAAGTGAAGCTTTAGATTTCGACCAAGTTCAAGTTATACATTTTTTCACTTATGGTCAGTATTCTGGGTCCCAAGAAATATTTGCCTATCACAAGATCACTAGTTGCTTGCTCCTAGAAGCTTTGCAGTTTTAGCTTTTATGTTTAATGCTATGGCCTTACTGGGGTGTCACCTAATGGTTTGGAGTATTCAATGAGGTCTCTTCCTTCTGGATAGATGGGAATTCAATGTCTCCCAGGGCACAATCCCAGGTTGTGGGCTCGATCCCCAGTCGGGGGCGTGCAGGAGGCAGCCAATCCATGATTCTCTCTCATCAGTGATGTTTCTCTCTCTCCCTCTCGGATCAAGATGGTATCTAGACTAGCAGTCAGCAACCGGAGGTCTGAAAGGTTGGTGACTGCTGATCTAGACCTCCTTCTCTGAACGACTCCAGAAGTCTGATGTTCTGCCCCACAAATTCCAGCCACCTTAGCTGCTCTGAATTCTGATCTCAGTTTCCTCAGCTCATCCAAACCAAGAATACCCTATGAACTCTGAAATGGGCCAGGAAATGCCTTTATGCAATAAGTTGGGACAAGCATTTATTCTTTCCCTTCTGTTTGGGATCACAGTCTCTCACTGCCTGTTGTCCGCTGTCTGAAAAGAGTCATTTTATATATTCCAGGTGATAACTGTTTATGACAGGAGAGCTAGTCCATTATCAGTTACTTGTCAGGGTTGGAAGCAGATGTTCAGAGCTGGGTTTTAAAACCTTTAGTGTGGCTCCAGAATTCTAAATTTTATTGCCTTGCCTTTAAAAAAATGGTAACCTCAAATAGTTCTTTTATTTATTAAAGGTCAGATTTTTTGCTAGTCAATTAATTCAACCCCCAAATTAGGCATGGTGTTTGTAGCAGAGCAGTTCTTTTCATGTCTTGTTCACTTAGGACTAGACTTTTGGCCATGACCTAGTGTAAGGAAGGAAATGAATAAATATTTCTTGAATGTAAAAACTACACTAAATCAAACATATAGAGAAAATGTTCTTTATGGGTAAGCCTGGCTAACCAATAAGTGAAATAGTGTCACAAGTATTTTTCATGAATGAATTATAGCAGTACTTTGATGGGTTGTATTTTTCATGAATCAATTATAGTAGTACTTTGATGGGTATTATCTATTACTAGAGGCCTGATGCACAAAATCTATGCAAGGGTAGGCCCTTGCAGCTGCTGCAGCCTCACGGCCCCGCCCCCCGCAACCCCCGCACTGGTCATTCTGGAAGGTCGGTCCACCATCCGGTCTAATTGCATATTAGCTCTTTATTACATAGGATTACTGAATAGGCATGAAGGATAAAACTATAAGAGACCTGAACTACTGGGCTCAAGAACTTAATAATCCAGTAGGGATGGAAAAGCGAAGAAAGAACCTTGATCCTGGTAGGCTAATGTTTTCAAGGAAAGTTGAATTTGATCGCTAAGGGCCCAGGATGGTCTGGCTCTTGCTTTTGCCCAGCCTCTTGTCTGTCTTCCTTGACCTTTGTGCTTCAGCCACCCTGGCTTTCCTTCAGTTCCACAGAAGCACCATGCTGCTGACTATCACAAGTGTTTGCACAGATAGGTCTGCCACCATTGGTCTAGCTAACTCCACTCATCATACAAGACTTAGTTTCCTCAAGGAAGTGTAGTCTTAGTAAGGCCTTCCTCTTAAACATTCTCATGGCAACTGAGCTCCTGCTTTGGGTACTTATTACAATCATAATATTTTGTGAAATTAGTTGTAAATGCCTGTCTCCCCAACTAGATAATAAGCTCCAAATAAGGAAGAGAAAACTTTGGCTGTTTTGTTTCCTAATCCCAAGCACACAGCCTTAAATATTTTGATGAATAATTAAGTAACAGGATAAACAAATAAATAGGGGGGACTGAGCTGGCTCAAAGACAGTGGCTAGGACTTGAGCAAGCCAATATTTCAGGCAACAAATAAGTGGCAGAGCTCAGATTCAAAGCCAGATCTGTTGGGACCCCAAGGGGAGTTCATAACACTTGTCAGTGATTAGACTGGATTCTTCTTCTCAGCTATATACTGCATCCCTCTAATAGAATTACACTTCCATGCCCTTTGCCATATGACTGCAGGACCTCCCACTAGGAAAGCAGAATGTACTGATCTACCCCACTGACTTAGAGTGTGGCCCTGTGAATTACTTTGGTGATGGAGATGGAGGACACGGCATATTGCTATTAGTGAGCTGAGACTTTAAGAGGTATAAGTATGGTAAGTTTTTACCAATGCTTTTACACTTCCATCTTCTTACCATAAGAAGAGCAGGATCAGATGCCTATTGCTCCTTGAGCCTAGATTTTAAAATAATGACATACAGAGAAGACTAGAATCTGATTTGAAGCTTGGAGTCCAGCCTAGCCCAGCAGCTAAACCACAGTCAACCTACACTCCTGTAAGCATGAAATAAATATTTATAATTGTAAGCTACTAAAATGTTGGGATGTATGATATGCAATATTATCACAGCAGCAACCTAACTGATAGATCTTCTTAATGACAGGGTTGTAATTTATTCTTATTTCTTTTGGCATCCAGTAACCTACCTGGATACATAGTGGGTGCTCAATCAATACTGTTGAATTAAACCCAATAAATGACATTCCTCAGATATGCTGCTCAAATGAACAAAGCTGTCAAAGTTACTTCTAAAGCAAAGACATCTAAAATGAATGAATAATGAGTAACTAAATAGAGAAACTTTGAGAAAGTGGGCTTACTTCTGTTTTTTTAAAGCTAGGGCTGAGTCTCTTATGGCATTTTAAGTATAAACAGATGCTTCAGAGACACCTAATCTAACCTCTGTCAGGTAAATTGATTAAGCATGCAAGATGCAGAATCTCTTTTGCAGAATGTAGGAAAAACCCTGACAAGATTTTGAACCAAGTGAGCTGAATGACTTGTCTCCTATTATCTGGTGTTTAAATGATCAAACTCAAAAATAAGAAGAAGCTAGAGTAAAAAGCTAAACATTTAGCTCAATCTTTCTTCTGCACAGTTTTACATTCAATTTAATTTCATAATTGTGTTCTAAGTAACTATCTGTGTATTCTGATGAAGAAGGAAAAACAGTATCCTACATCTGCCACCATAACCCTTTTGGAACAAGGCAGGATATAAAAATATACATACCCCCAGAATTCCTCAACTTAAAGTCAAATAAGGCATTGTAACTCACAAAATATTTTTTCATATATTCTTCATTTCTTTATACAATAATATATTAGGTTTTGTTTTGTCTTTTAATCCCCATCTCTGTGATGAGGAAACAGCGGCTCAGCCACATGATGAGGGCCTGGCAGTAAGTGACAGATGTCTGAATGTCTTTCACCAATACCAGGCCGCCTCATTCCTCAAGACTTAAACACTGAAGATATAGGAGCAACCTGTGACATCCCCAAACAGCATCGACATACCACTCCGGGGAATATTCTCTGGAGCCGGTCTGCTGCAGCCAGGGCCTTGGGCTTGCCACCTGTGAGGCAATCTTCAAATTCATAGAGAGGCTGCCTCACAGGATTGGAGTAGGAGATCTTGGCATTATCCACAAATGTGATGTGTCTGACGCCCCACCCCTGCATGGAAACAGGATACCATGGTGTGTTTCTGGTGAACATTTCACGGGGTATCTCTCTTGAAATACCTAAAATGGGTTTGCTTTCGAGCAACTTAGGGACCTCAAAATATAGGGAACTTCAGAAATTAAATTGTGTAAATTCAGTTTTTTATAAATAGAATATCAACTTCCTTTAAAAGATAAAATAATTATATAGCCAGTGCCTGGTTTCCTGTGTAATGAGACTAAGAAATGTCAGAGTTGCTCTAACTAATAATTCATTACTTTTGACAGTGGAACCAGAAAAAGATTTTGAAGCGAGTCTTATAAAAATTGTCTATGCTGCTATAATTAGCAATAATCCCCAATGTCGTTGCTTTTCTTTAAGGAATAATTTTGTAAGTATAAATAACAGCTCATCTTAAAACTTACTTAAAGCTTAAATTAACATCTGGGGGAAATGACTTACAAGTTATTTCCCACTAACACTGTAGAAGATTTTGTATTATTTCTCCAAGAGGCAAAAGCCTTACTAATCTGGAATACAGAGTATGATTCCAATATTCTCAGTTTTCATCTTATAAAGTCTTATAGAACCACACAACTTCAAAGTTGGATGGGATATCTAAAATTCTTAGTCTAATTACTGTTTTACATATATGGAAACTAAAGCCCAGAAAAGGTAAGTGACTCACCTAAAGTCATAGATGTAGTTAATGGTGGGGAAAAAATGAGATCCCTAGAGTTACAACCAAATGAAGATGCCTACTTTTTTGGGGGGTGAGGTGGGGTGTGTGTATTTCAGTAGATCATAAATAAGCATAATGATTTATTTTAAGAGAAGCTCTGACAGGATTAGCCATAAAACTAAGATTCCGCTCTCTTTCCTTTCAATATCCATCTATTAGGGACCTTGAAACTAAATTAGACTGACGATTGTAGGGGGAATAATCAATGTAGACTCAAGATTTGTTTTGGGGGTTGAGAAAGACAGGCTAGAATCCATATTTGAAAACCTTAGTTTAGATCAATTGTTTGTTTTGATGTCCACAGTTAACTTTTTGGTCTACTAACCTAGCTAAATAATCTACCGTGGACAGAGAATTAAGGTGTGGGAAATCCAAGTCATTTGTGCTTAGTTTGGGGATATTTATTTCTAAAGTATTTTTGCATTCTTTAAAGCAACGCTGAGTGGATAGCAAGGAAGGCAGTCTGGGGACATGCTGGGCAGGGGGAAGAAAGCCAGATAAATTACAAACATGCCATAGGTTAGTCACATGCAGGTGGACTTTCACACTTGACTTCTGGCTTCCCGGAATGCTACACAGTTTAAATGGCTAATCTGAAAAGATTAAAGAAAATTACAATACTCAATGCTGGTGAGGATGTGGCAGTGAAACACCTGTTTTACTGGTTGAGAACATAAACTGGTGTAATTTTTCTGGAAAGTGATTTGGCAATGTTTCTGGAGTCTTTATAATGCACACATCCTTTGACCTACTTCCAGCAATCTTTCCTAGGAAATAGTCTGAAGATGAAATCACAAAGATGTTCTTAGCAACATAATTTCTGGCTATGTAAAAATTTATAAAAATTTATACTTAAGTATTGGAATCAATGTTAATGCCTAACATTAAAGGAATGTCCCAGTAAATTATGTTTCCTCATACAAGAAGGCACTTTCTTGAGAAAGTGTTTACAATGTTAACTGATAAAAGCAAGGGACATTATTATATATCATATGTGGTTTTAAAATGTATATTAAACAAACACTAAAAGGAACAAAGTGAAAAGTTGATAGGAAAATGGATAACTTTCCTTTTTTATAACTTTTACGCAAAAGTGTTGTAAACCATAAAAAAAAGACTAACATAATGAGTCACAAAAATTAAAAAAAAACCTTATATGGCTAAATATACTTTAAATTAATATGTTGAGAAAAAGATGTGCATCATATAACAAAAAAGGTTAATCCATAATAAAAAGAACTCCAAAACCATAAAAGAAACAACCCAGAGAACATGAATAGAAGAAATAAATTTCACAAAAGAAATAAAATTTTAGACTCACCCTCACTAATTAAAGAAATGCAAATAAAAAGCTCTGTTCCTCACATGTTTTTGGAAGATAATTTGATTTGGGAAGAAAAAAAATTACTATAGCAATTCTACTTCTAGAACTTTTTCCCAAAAGAAATAATACTATGAATATGTAAAGATATAAATGTAAAAATGTTCATACCATTATCATCTCTAAAAGAAAAATATGCTGACAGTGATTAAATAAACCGAGGACTCAGTCATACAATGAAATAGTACATATAGATAATATGGAATACATAAAGAGAGCCATAATTATTTTCATATTAAGTTAAGAACAAAAACCTGTTATAGACAGTATGCTATGATCCAATTTTCATAAAAATAAATAACAGCAATGATGACAAATGTCTCTCATTTGTATATGCCTAAGAATACTTCAGGGGAAAATATACTGCATATTAATCTAAAAAGTCTACTTAATTCTGGGAAATGTGCCTTGGGATGGAGATGGAGGGACTTTGTGTTTTTACCTTATAATAAAAGCATGTGTTCCATTTATATTTAAAAATAAACTGAGAGGGAGGGAGAAGGAAGAGAGAGAGAAGAAAGGGCATCTGGGAGGTGGAAGGCAATCAGATATAGTAAAATGGGAAAAGAAGCTTCAAAGGTACCATTTGGCCCCCACAAACTTACCATCAGTGTCCTAGCTACATTACAGCCCAAGGTGCCAGCTCCAAGCAGCAGACATTTGACAGACACAACTTTGTCTAAGTCCAAAGTAGGCACTAATCTCCAACACATCAATTTGAGATTTAGATCCACTGATGACTCAGCTAACCTAGAAAATGAGAGAATTATTTAATGATTCAGTCAGCTACTCATTTATACCCCAATTTTGGCCTTTTTGAATAGAAGTAACTATATGAGAAAAGAAGAAACAAATACTTAGGAAATTAGAATCAAAGGAAAACTAAGATGAAGCTTGAGGGTAAATGGGTAGGAGAAAGGTTACTGTGCAGAACCGTAACACTGTAGTCCTCTGCAATTGTTAGAAATAGGCCACATATTTGATACTAAGCTCCTGGCTGTGAAGATGAAAACAGAAGCATGACTGGTACTAGAAGTCATTGTGTCTATAAACCAAAACACACCAGCTACCAGCTGCTTAAGAAGAAAGTTTTTCCTAAAACTGAAAACAGAGACTTTTCTTCCATGCCCTCAATAAAGGGTGCACTTACACTCTCCCTTAAATACAATATTGGTTTCCATGAGATATTTCTTATAATGTCCTTCAATGTAGGCTACTAGAACAAAATTAAAGGGCAATGAATAAAGGACTACAACATGTTGCAGATATACAGGTCTTAGAGTCTGTGCTTGAAGCAAGAATAAAATTTAGAATGTCTACATGAACAGATGAACCGTGTGCCCTTCAGGATATCCATCATTAATATTAATTCCCACAACCAAACTTAAATTATGAGTTAGGCAGCAAAGAATGCAATAACACCCATTGTTCATGTGAATGGCACCCCTGGACTGAATTGTGCAGTGCCATTGACCTCATAGAACCTAGTGTGCAAAAGATCCATTGAAGAAACTATCTTCCAAAATATACCTTTTAGGGTCCATGCACTCACTGAGGTTCACCATCCTTGGTCCCATGCCTCCTTTCTGGTTCTTTTCCCATCCAACTGCTTTGGGACAATCTTAAAGCAAATAAAACAATAAGTTTAATGAAGGAGAGAAGGATAAAAACAAGTCAGTCAAGCAGCAAGATGGCCCATATACTGATAAACTTTTGGTACACCCTTCTCAAAAAGGTTCTTAGGCCTGAATTTGCATCTACTTGCCTCAGTTGCCTTCCCGTCTTCCATGGCTACCAGGAATCTTGTTTAGAGGCCAGTAGACCTGTAGAGGAGCTTCTGAAATAGCCCTCAACTCTAGCCCAAGTTGCTTTGATTTCTGCAGTTGCTCAAATAAAAACAATCGTATTTGGCACTGGGATAACCCTGTTGAAGGTTCCCTATCTATTCTAAGGAAACTGACTACTATGATGCCAGCACAGCTTCTGATGAAGTTCCCACTGGGATGTGAACAGTACATCCCTTCTGTTCCTCATTTTTGTGTCCCTCTGCTCAGCCACTCAACTCCATCATTGTGTACCTACCTGTGGGCAGATCACAGTCCAAGAGGACTGTCCCTCTGTTAAACTGCCCTTTCCTTTAAGCTCATCCTTATCCATTTAGACTTTCCCCTTCCCTATCTCTTTTAACCTCTGCTATGGGTGCCTATGTAACTCCAATTCTGGCAGTTCAGAAGGTAAGGATACTGTGGCTAATAGACATGGGAAATACCTCTGGACCCATTTCTGTGTTCCCTATCCACTCCTTACCACCACCCAAACCTGGAGATTCAAGTTGCATGTGAGGGAGATAAAAGCTTTGAGGAGCCTACAGTACAGGAACATTGAATTTAAGTTGGCTTTGTGTTTCCCAAATTTACCTGGCTCTCAGTATCTCCTTCCATCACTGGTAACACATTTAGGGAAAAGCAGCTCTATTCTACTGTTGCAAAAATCCTCTTAAAAACCTCACTTGCTTTGTAGATACTCCTGCTACCTCCTCACCTTAATGGAAACCTGACTTTCTTGGTGAAAACTTGCTAATGGGGTCCAGCCACTCTCTTACACTCGCCACATCTCTAGATCTCACTGAATCCCTGAAATTCACAATAAAGCCTCAATTCCTTCGCAGGGAATTCACCCAGCTACAACCCACCCTACCGGCATCCCCTTTAATAGTCTGCCTTATATAAGTCTCTGAAGGAACAGAAACTCCTTGACTTAATGTACAAAACTATTGGGAGAAATTTTGTTTGTTTCTAATGATACACTGGTATTCTTTGGCCACTCTCCTTCTTTTAGATTTCTATTGACACCTCTATTTTCCTTTCCTTGGAAACTTTTTAGCTTTTGACCTTTCATTTAAAAAAAAAATAGTATTGCACCCTGACTGGTTTGGCTCAGTAGATAGAGAGTTGGCCTGCGGAATGAAGGGTCCCAAGTTCAATTCCGGTGAAGGGCACATGCCCAGATTGCAGGCTCGATCCCCAGTAGTGGGTGTGCAGGAGGCAGCCAATCAATGGTTCTCATCATTGATGTTTCTCTCTCGCCTTTTACCTTCCTCACTGAAATCAATAAAAGTAAAATAAAATAATATTGCTTAATATAATTATGGGACCTAGAAGGTGTTGATTTCATTTACATAATCTTTTTTGTGTGAAAAGATGAGATAGGATGACCAATGGAAAACCTTGGAACCAATCATTCTGGAAAGCTATTTGAGCCTCAATTTGGCTGGGGGGCATCATTCACAGAAAGAAGTCCAAAAACAAATGTCCCTTCTTTTTCTAATTCAGGCCTCTGGTGTGGTCCTGTTTTCAGAGTCATGAAAAATTAAAACTGATATAATAAATTTGAGTTCTTAAAAGAGGTTAAAACTTCAAAATTCTTTTTCTGGGAAAAAGAATTCAGACTTGTTACTAAATCATATTTCCTTACTATTCTTACATTAATAAAAAATGCTTCCCTAATACACAGCATAAGAAACCTGGCAAGTACAGTCTAGTACAGTAGTTCATAACTCCAGCCTAAGCTTTCTCATAAAAAAAAAAATCATGGGACAAAAACAAAATATCATTTCAAATTAAAACATCTCAGTACTCAAAATGCTATAGCTATTTCTAAGAAAATTAGATGTACTTTAAACTTACTGACAATGAAAAAATTCTATACAGGCTGTCCCCCCAAAATGTATACACACTTTAACAGATGATAGCTCAATTTTGAAAATGAAATGTATTTTAATAAACATCCTATATAATAAAAGCATAATATGCTAAGTGTCCGACCATTCGTTCGACTGTTTCACCAGTCACTATGACACACACTGACCACCAGGGGGCAGACACTCCGACCAATAGGTTAGCTTGCTGCTGGGTTCCAGCTGATCAGGACTGGGCGAGACGGTCGGACATGCCCTGGAACCCACCAGTGATCCCTCCCCGGCTGGCCAACCTCCTACAGTCCCTCCCTGGCCAGCTAGCCTGGATCAGGACTGGGCTAGATGGGTTCTTCCACGTCCCTCCCTGGCTCCAATCAGCCCCAGTCAGGACTGGGTGAGACAGGCCGGACCTGCCCTGGAGCCCTCCCATGGTCCCTCCCTGGCTGGCCAACCTTCCACAGTCCCCCTCCAGCCGGCCGGTCCCCATTGCCCCAATCAGGACTAGGCAAGATGGCCCTGACTGACCCTGATCGCCAGCCATGCCAAGGGACCCTACTGGTGCACGAATTTGTGCACTAGGCCTCTAGTTACCTTTATAACTATTCAAAGTGCCTGTATACATTTTTGGGATACTATAGATATTTAATCTATCATATCTGCTTCCATATAAACTGTATCTATAAGTCATATCCAAAATTATTGAGAAAGATTTTTAGGGGAAACTTAGGACCTGTTTTCCCAGTTAGTCAACTAGGAGGAACATCAGGACAGGAATTAAAATGGGGGCTCTCCCACCCTCAGCAGCATCTGCTGCCTCCTTCAGCCAGTTGCCAGGATATTCTTTATATTAGCAATGGAGGGTGGGTTTGGCTCCACTATGAAGAGTGTAAGAAAATACAGGATATTTAAAATTATACTTGTTATACCACTGCAACTATGGGCTGTCTTAGAAATACTAAAAAATCCTGCTATTCTAATACCTTCAGTTCATACTATGATACAGAATAATTATTTAGAAAGATTTTTTTAATCCTTGCCCAAGGTAATGTTGTTGTTTTTTTAATTTTACTGATTTTAGAGTGGGAGGGAGAGAGAAACATAGATGTGAAAGAGAAACATCCACTGGTTGCCTCCCAATGCAACTCAACTGGGCATCAAACCTACAAACCTAAGATGTACCCTGACCCAGGGATTGATCCTGAAACCCTTTGGTGTATGGGATGATTCTTCAAACAACTGAACCACCTGGCCAGGGTGAAAGATAAAGTTTAATTTACAGCTAAAAGGGGAACTATTAATTCACATGAAAAAAATAAAGAAAAATTGCCTTTCCATCCACATTCAAAAAAGATGTATTGAGACATTACTGGATTATAGAAAGCCTCTTTTTCAAATGTAAATGCAGTATTTCCTGGGTTTGCCAGTTCCATCAAGCATCAGTAATACTGGGAACAGGGAATACGAGTAATTCAGTGACTTTAACTTAAAAATGGAAAGAAAAGTGCCTCCTCCAAGGGTGATTGGCAGGATTTAGGGAGGGAAGTATGGAAGGCAATGGTGGCCTACCAGGTATAGACCAGGCCCGCATTACTTCTTAGTTAACCTCATTTCCCTAGAACTACCCTCAAGTTGTGGCTTTAATATAACAAAAGTACAGTATGTAAGTTAGCATCACATGGAAGCTATTTTAGAATGTGCCAGAAGAGGGTGCTAAACCAAATGCAATTATCTAAAAATAGCAGGGAGGCAATGCATTTATTATGGCTCAAAGTAACAAGTAAGCCACTTCCCCAATTGTCTGACCAAGCACTTTGAGGTCAATCTCTCTAAGAAGTCTCTTTAAGACATTTATCAGTGCTACAGCAAAGAATTACTGATAAAATGTCATCAGAGTCAATCCTGGATCCTTCTGAATTCTGCATTCTAGAAATGCCAGCTCAGAAGAAATTTTAACATCCTCCCCTCCCCACCGCACCACTAAAACACTTTAAGGCACACAACTTGTGGATTAAAGAAAGCAATGTGCCTTGAAGCTATGTGGGACACTGTGAGGAGCGAATTGAACAATGTATGTGAAACTACTCTGAAAAGCATGTAAGACACAAAAATCTGAGGGATCCTTTTGGAGAGTGCTAGGCTTAGTGTCATAGGAAATTAACATAAATCAGCATTTATGAAGCACCTATAACATGCCAGACATTGTGTTCTGTCTTTTAAACAGGACAGATTCCTCATAAGGAATATTCCATGTGGTGGTTACTAGTAAGTATCAGACTTCAATATGTGTTCTGTGACATGAATATAAACATAAGTGTAACACACACACACACACACATCTATATAAAAGGTCTGTGATCCTGTTTCCTTATTTATGAAAGGAGGAGAATAGCTGATATCTATCACACAGGACCAAAATGAAAAATATTAAATGTGGAAAGAGACATGGCACTTTTGCTCACTCATTTAGTGCATGAAGAGTAGAATCACACACAACTTTAAGTTTGTAACAAATAAGTATGTGAGTGCATTAATATTTCATTTTTCCTTTCAGAAGGGTCAGGAATAAAGATTGTGTCTTAAGCAAAAATAAAAACAAAACTAGGGGGAAAAATATCCTTAAGATTGAAAAATCCTGCCTGGAGAAAATTTCCTGGGGACAATCTTTGCCTTTGTGCCTGTCAGACTAGCAGAGCTGCTCTCTGTTCAAGGGAGGTGATCACATTGACAAAGAGGTAGAAATTGTACTCTTCTCTCCCTTCTGCTGCTATTGTAAAAGGATGAAAGGAAAGTTAAGCCTGATTAGGTTTATGACAAATAATCATTATATGCATTCTCAGAGACCAGCCAATTACCTGGGCTAAACGCCATTTCTGGAAGCTTCACTTCGAAGATGATGCTGTGGGTGATGTCTCTGACCCCCTGCAAGGTGCGGTCCCGGAAGCAGAGGACTTCAACAGACTGGAAACTACTACTCCTGATGTTAGGCCCCGGTTGGTTTTTGTTTTTATTTTTTTAAGGAAGGAAAAGAAAGAGCTCACATTAGAACTTCAGCAAACCCAGGTGGAAAGAATGCAATTCATTGTAATTATGCTTCTCTGACACCCTCAAGGGATGGCCTTAACCAGGGGTGGGCAAACTTTTTCACTCGAGGGCCACAGTGGGTTCTTAAACTGGACCGGAGGGCCGGAACAAAAGCATGGATGGAGTGTTTGTGTAAACTAATATAAATTCAAAGTAAACATCATTACATAAAAGGGTACGGTCTTTTTTTTTTTTTTTAGTTTTATTCATTTCAAACGGGCCATAGTTTGCCCACGGCTGGCCTTAACCTTTGAGAGATTCTGAATACATCCTTGTCTGCTTCCTTTGTCTTGGTGCTTAGAGGCTGAAGGCGGAATAGGCTGTGATTTCTTTCGAGGTGAATTTCATATAACAATCTTAAATAATTCCGACAAAGCTTAAATGTAGGAGAAAAAAGCTTACAAGACATTGAAAAGAATGGCTAGGGCATTCATGGGTTCTTCTGGTTGCCCTTCTCTCCATCTGCACTTACATTCTATGAAGCCACACTGCAGTAGTTAGGAAACCCATGTGCACTAGATAGACTGACTACCTGGATAAGCACTAGTAAGTATAACCATTCTCCCACTAGGGACAATCTATAACTTAGCTACCTTCATTTTTTAAAAGTAAACATTTTGATTTAAGTAAAGTAGCCACAAACTCAAGTACACAGCTTTTAAATATAAAGGAGCCTATCTCATGGCTTCTCCCAGTTATTAACCACCCCTTCAAAAGTAACTACTACTCTAACTTCCAAGTATATATTCTTTTATATTGAGTTTATTTCACTCAACATGTTTTTAAAACTCATCTATATTGATACATGTATCGGCAGTTCACTAAAATTTGTAACATAGCATTCCATTGCAATGAATACACCACAATTTATTCCACTCCATTTCATTACTGAATGACATACGGGTTATTCCCCGTTTGGGGATATTAAGATCTAGAGGCCCGGTGCACAAAAATTTGTGCACTCGGGGGAAGGGGAGGTCCCTCAGATGGGCCTGTGCCCTCTTGCAGTCTGGGACTCCTCGGGAGATAACGACCGGCTGGCTTAGGCCTGGGGTTGGGGCGCCGCCACTGTCTCACTCAGGGCAGGACCAATGGGGAGGTTATGGCTCTACCCCGTCACACACAGAGCAGGGCCCGTGGGGGGCGGGGGGGTTGGGGCCCCGCCCCCTGTCACACACAGAGCTGCAGGGCGATCAGGGGGTTTGGGCGCTGCCCCGTCACGCTGATCCCGGTGCTGGGAGGCATATTACCCTTTCACTATATAGAATAGAGGCCTGGTGCATGGGTGGGGTTGGCTGGTTTGCCCTGAAGGGTGTCCTGGATCAGGGTGGGGGTCCCCACTGGGGTGCCTGGCCAGTCTGGGTGAGGGGATGATGGCTGTTTGCAGCTGGTCACACCCCTTCAGGGTGGGGGTCCCCACTGAGGTGCCTGGCCAGTCTGGGTGAGGGGCTGAGGGCTGTTTTCAGGCTGGGACTGAAGCTCCCAACCGCTCCGTTTTTTCTTTTTCTTTTTTTTATTCTGGGCCAGCTTTAGCTCTGAGACCTCGGCTGCTGAAAACAGGTTTCTGGCCTTTGTTTACCATCTGTATTTGATACAATGTTGCGGTCCGGCTGGCTGAAGCTCCTCTGAGTAAAGCAGGTTTCTGGGGTTTTTTTTAGCTTCTTTATTCACAACATAGTTGCTTAGAGTTGCAGCTGAGAGGCTGGCAAGTCAGGCGGGGAACGTTGGAGTCCTCCGTCACTGAAGCAAGCAAGCCTCCCTGTTCGCATCAGCTGCCTGGCTGCCGGCCGCCATCTTGGCTGCCAGTTAATTTGCATGTCTCGGCCCTACTCTGTGAGTGACAGGGGGATTAGCCAATGGGAAGGGTAGTGGTCGTATGCCAATGACCATGTTTCTCTTTTATTAGTGTAGATAATGCTGTGACAGCCCGGCCTATGTGGCTTAGTGGTTGAGGATCAATCTATGAACCAAGAGGTCACCGGTCGATTCCCAGTCAGGGCACATGCCTGGGTTGTGGGCTCCATCCCCAGTAGTGGGTGTGCAGGAGGCAGCCGATCAATGATGTTTCTCTCTCATTGATGTTTCTATCTCTCTATTCCTCTCCCTTACTCTCACCCTAAAAATCAATGGAAAAAAATATTTAAAAAAGATATATTCTATATTTTTAAAATTTGTTTTTTAAAAAAATCCTTGTCCAAGGATATGTTTTATTTTCAGTTGATTTTTAGAGAGAGAGGAAGGGAGAGTAAAAAAAAAACAATGTGAAAGAGAAACATTGATTGGTTGCCACTCATATGTGACCTGATCAGGAATCAAGCTCAAAACCTTTTGGTGTACAAGAAGATCCTCCAATAAAGTGAGCCTCCCAACCATAAACATTCTTGATATGTGTTTTGCTTGTATCTGAGTGAGCATTTATGTATGATATATACTTGGGAGTACAATTGCTGAGCTATGAATATTTTTAACTGTGATAGATACTGCCAGTTTTCCAGCAGTGTCTGAGAGTTCCAATTGCTCCACATCTTCAACAAGACTTGGTATTGTGATTTATTAATGACTAGAGGCCCAGTTCACAAAATTCATGCATGGGGAGGAGGGGGGAAGAGCGAGTAGAGGGGGGAGAGGGTCCCTCAGCCCAGCCTGCATCCTCTCTAATCTGGGACTCCTTAGGGATGTCTGACTGCCAGGTTTAGGCCCAATCCCAGGAATCAGACCTAAACTGGCAATCGGACATCCCTCTCACAATCCTGGACTGCTAGCTCATAACCACTCACCTGCTTGCCTGCCTGATTGCCTCTAACCACTCTGCCTGCCAGCCTGATAGCCCAGTCTGCTGTTCAGTCATTTGGTTGTCCCTCCCTAACCCCCGCTGCCGGCCTGGTCGCTCCATTCAGCCTGCTGTTCAGTCGTTTGGTCATCCCTCACTACACCCCTGCTGGCCTAGTCACAGGCAGCCATCTTGTGAGGGAGTGAGGTTTAATTTGCATATTGCCTCTTTATTATATAGGATTAGTATTTCATTTTATTTCCTTGATGATCAATGATGTTGAGCATCTTTTCAAATGTATATTGGCCTTTTAGGTACCCTCCTTTTAAATTATTTTAGGGTAGGACAAAAGAAGGCTAGAAGCAAAAGAATAATCCTATCTGAAAGCTGAAGAGAGGACTGAAGAATTTCAGGGTCAGAACCTTTGGCTACTTGCCCTGCCATATTCTGAAACATCTTTAATACAGTATGGTCACAGTCTGCAGCTCCATAACAGGCCTGCTTAGGGGCTCAACACTGACGGAAATTGGATCATGGCTGATTTATTGACTCCCACCTGGTTTGTGTGCCAGAAGTGGGGGGAAAAAAAATGCAGACATAGGCAGACACACTGTCAAAAACATACAGACAGACAGACAGACAAGACAGTCACATGTAAATACTGTACCATTTGTGGGCTGCTAGGACCAAAAAATTCCTCAAAGGCCATCCAGGGTATTGGGCTAAGTTACAGGGATCATATACACCAACTGTTATCTGTGAACATAAAAGTCTTTCTGAATGAGTGAGGTACTATACAGATTCACAATACAGACATTGCTAATACTTACTCTTCATTTTTTATGCTGTTCTGCAAAAGCATTAATAATTAGACACTTGGTGAAGGGCTATAGGGAAGAGAAGAAAGTAAAATGATATAGGTATAGAGGACAGAACTTCTTGATGACAGAAGCTATCAAATTCTTCTCTGCACTCCTGTACCTTGTACTGGGCCTGGCAGAGAGTAGGAACTAGATACATTTAAAAGAAAGACTGAAAGGAAGACAGGGAGGGAGGGAGTACTGTCAACTGTCAGGGCTCACATAGAAAAAAACCTCTCCTAAAGAGACAATCTGTGAAAATTGCTAATTTTTATATAACGAGAACATCACAGGGCCACTATCATTGTCATTGTAAGTCTATAGTCAGATCAAATTAAAAAGTCAGATGCCCTTGATTACTATTCCTACTCCCACAACTCTGACCTCTGCTAGAAAACTTGACTCAACTTCAAATACCATTTCTTCAGTGATGACTCCTCATGCCTAAAGTGGTCACTCTGTTCTCTCTGCTTCCACAGCATTTTGAACATTACACATAACATTTTCACTTTTTCTGTCTCCTTTCTCTCAAAAGACAATAAATGCTGAGCACCTAGCTCTTGATTTCTAAATACCATTCTCCAATAAAAGGAATCAGGGCTCCTTGGACACGTGGCTAATTCTAGGGCGGAGGCAGGAAAAACACAAGAGGAACCTGGAGCATCTTGTATATTAGAAAGGAAGGAAGTGCTAAGTAAACAAAAGGATGGGATGTCAAGGGGACAGCAGAGCCAACTGAAAGGCCTGGGAGGGGCAGTTGTGGGGTGAAGGGGATCAATGGGGAAAAAAAACAAAGAGAACAGCTGTAATACTTTCGACAATAAAGATAAATTTTTAAAAGTGGTGTTGTTTTTTTACCCTGATAAAAAGAACAAAGAACTCTCAATGGCCAAGGTTGGATCAATATGGGAAACAAAATAACTCATATGAGATTATAATCCATAATGCAAAATAAATATCTATGAGACCATTCTGACATAAATAAATGATGGATAAGTAAATACGTAAAGATAAAGGAACAAGTCTTCCTCTTAGATTTCCAAACAATAGATGTAGATACATGCCCCCTCCAGAAGCAGAGCTTAATCCTTCTCCTCAGTGAGAGCAGTTGGAGTTAGTGAATCACATCCAAAGAAAAAATAGTAACCTTGCAGTGGAGAAACCTGGCAAACACTACTTAACCAAGTGATCAAGTTTACCACCACCAGGGATGCTATGTGGATATCAGGAACCCCTTGACATGATGTGATGAAATGGGTGTTTCACCTCGGTGGTATTCTTTCCAAAAACCCATAACCCCAGTCTAATAATAAAAAAGACAACATTAGCCTGGCCAGTGTGGCTCAGTGGTTGAACATTGATCTATGAAGCAGGAGGTCAGGGTTAGAATCCCAGTCAGGGCACACGCCTGGGTTATAGCTGATCCTCAGTAGGGGCGTGCAGGAGGCAGCTAATCAATGATTCTCTCTCATCATTGATGTTTCTTATCTCTCTCCCCCCACCCTCCTCCTCTCAAATCAATACACACACACACACACACACACACACACACACACACACACATTGGATAAAAAGGAAAGTCTGAGAAACTGTTACAGACCAGAGAGGAGGCCTGACAACAAAATGCAATGTAGTCTCCTGGATTGGATGCTGGAACACAAGGAGGATGTTATTGGAAAACTGGTGAAATCTGAGTAAGTCTCGAGTTTAGTTAATAGTAATGTATTAATGTTGGTTCCTTGGGTTTGATAAATGTACCATGGTTATTTAAGATGGTAACATTAGAAAAAAACAAAAAACAGGGTGAAGGAATATGGGAACTCTTTGCACTATCTTTGCAACTTTTCTATAAATCTAAAATTATTCCAAAATAAAAAGTTTATTAAAAAAAAGACAGCCCTGGTGGGTGTTTGGGTATTGTCCTGTGCACTGAAGGAATACCAGTTCTACTCTCAGTTGGGGCTCATGCCCACCTTGTGGAATTAATCCTTGGTAGGAGGTGTGCGGGAGACAGCCGAACAATCCTGTTTCACTCTCACATCGATGTCCCCCCCTCCCCCGCCCTCTCTCTTCCCCTCCCTTCCCCTTCCTCTCTCTCTAAACATCTTTAAAACACACACACACACACACACACACACACAACAATGAGCATCTAGAGAAGAGTATCTTCTTCATCTTTCCATGATCAGTTCATAGATACATTGCAGATACTTAGTGAACGCTTATTGAATGATGAAAAAAGATGGATAGATAAATGGATGGATGGCTAAATGATGGATGGATGATAAGTGGAAGGAGGAAAGGAAGGAGGAAGGACAGATAGCTGTCAGAGAACCGTAAGTTAACCCACAGGTGTCCTTTACAGGTATACCCGTGGGTTAAATAGAAACATGGCAGATAAACTTTGATTACTCTAGATCCAGTTATTTCTGTAAGAATGGGATCAGTCCAAACACTTCCACTTATTTACCACAGTGCTGAGTACAGTGTCAGCCACAAAGAAGGAGCTTAACCAATATTCACATGAAAAAAAGCAGAAAGACAGAAAGTAAGAGAAAGATGGAAGAGAGGGAAGGGGGAGGGAAGGAAGGAGAGAGAGGAAGGAAAGAAAGAAGGCCACAACGCCACCATCCAGAGAGAAACACCACCTTGGTGTATAACTTCCATTTATTCTTTACATAAATATATTTTAATTATTACAACTTTTGAACAAAAATGGAATCATGCTAAAAATACTGTTTTGTATCTATTATTCGACTATGAACTCTCTTCCATACTAATGTCATTCTACAACCACTGTCGGTAGTGGCTGAATGGCATTCCACTGTATTGATGTACCACAACTTTTTTCTATTTTCTATTGAATAACAATTAAATAGTCTTCATATGAGCTCAATAAATCTCTGGAAGTGTCTTACTATTGTCTTATGAGATAATTACTGCATTATTTCAAAGGTATTCCTAAAAATATTGGCTGCCTTCTCCACTATAAATTTTCTTATTCCCAAGACTGAAGTGTTTTGTCTAGTAGCTTTTCATGTATTAAATGCAAACAGATGCATATTTAATTCAATATAAACAGACTCATAAGTATGGCCATCCTTTCAGAAAATACAGAATACCTTTATTTGAGATTTCCTTTTCCATGGGAAGATATAGCATTAGTATCTAGAAAACTTTTAAAAATAGAACTTGCAGAGACTATTCTGAGGACTGCCCCTGTCAATGAGTGACCTAGGGAAAATTAGCTCCTCCAGGCCTCAGTGTTGTTTATCTGAATCACTCAGGCATTTTATACAGACAGACTAGAGGCCCAGTGCATGAAATTCTTGCACTTGGGGGGGGGGGGTCCTTCAGCTTGGCCTGTGCCCTCTCGCAGTTCGGGAGCCCACAGGGAGCAGGCCTAAGCCGTCAGTCAGGCATCCTTTTTTACTGCCTTGGAGGCAGGAGAGGCTCCCACCACAGCTTCTATGCCAGCCATGAGCCTGGCTTCTGGCTGAGAGGTGCTCCCCCTGTGGGAGTACACTGACCACCAGGGGGCAGCTCCGGCATTGAGTGTCTGCTCCCTGGTGGTCAGTGCACGTCATAGCGACTTGCCAACCAGTCGACTGTCTGCCTCCTGGTGGAAAGTGCACATCATAGCAAGCAGTTGAGTGGCCTTAGCATATAATTAGCATATTACTCTTTGATTGGTTGACCGGACAACCAGACAATCAGACACTTAGCGTATAAGGCTTTTATCTTTTATAGGCTATGCAGAGAGGGTCTTTATAGAGGTCTTCAAGTTAACATGAGGTCATTAGGATGGCCCCTGGTCCAATATGACTGGTGTTCTTAGAAACCGCCCCTAACCACCTCTGCCTACTGACCTGACTGCCCCTAGCCTCTGCCTGCCGGCCTGATTGCCTCCTAACTGCTCCCCTGCTGGCCGATTGCCCCCTAACTGCTCTCCCCTGCTGGCCTGATCACCCCTCTAAGTGCTCTCCCCTGCCGGCCTGATCGCTCCCTAACTACTCTCCCCTGCTGGCCTGATTACCCCTAACCGCCTCTGCTTCGGCCCCCACCACTGTGGCTTTGTCCAGAAGGACATCCAGAAGATGTCGAGTCTAATTAGCATATTATCCTTTTATTAATATAGATGACTAGTCTCATCACTAAAGATTTGGAATCACTAATAATGTTAGCAGAAATGCCCATGTTCAGACTTTTCATGTTCAGTACCATCTCATTTAATACTCACTACAACTCTATGAAGCAGGTACTATTATTTTCCCCATGATTCAGCTGTAACAGAGGGTATGTGCTGGATAAACTATAAAAGTAATTATCACTTAAACTTCAATTAAAAAAAAATCAAGGGCATTTACAACTCTGTTACCCAGCAAGAAAAGGGGAGAGAAGGGAGAAATTAGCTTTCTATTCCTCTAACATTTGAAATGGGTTAGAAAAGAAATGGCCTAATACAATTAAACACACACACACACACACACACACACACACACACACACACACACATTGGCTGGAGCAGTATGTGATCTAATCCTGCAGCTCATTGATTTTAAGATCTTCGGGAAATTCTTTCCTCGCCTCTGAAATAAAGGAGTTGAGTCATTTTATCTAAAGGGATTCCTTTGAGCTCCAGAATTATAGAACTTCAAAGAACATTAAAGAGAAAAAAAATCCTACATAGGTTACAAAACAAGACAGATAATATTATTAAGGTTCAATTTTATAGAGTGTCTAAAGGCTATTCAATTTATTTAGGAAGAACCTACACAGCATCAATTCAGAAAATGCCATTCATATAGAGATTTTGTGTTTTAATTTTCAAATGTGACTTCATAAACCTGGGCTCTTATCAATGTCCTGAGTTACTCTCATTTAACCTTGGACAAT